TTGTAGGGAGTATTATCTGTTACATAAAGGTGAGTTGATGTACAGTTGTAGGGAGTATTATCTGTTACATAAAGGTGAGTTGATGTACAGTTGTAGGGAGTATTATCTGTTACATTAGGGTGAGTTGATGTACAGTTGTGGGGAGTATTATAGTATGAATGTAGTCCTGTATCTCACTGTTTCAGAGGAGCTGTAACAGCTGCTCCGTTATGGCCTCTGAAAGTTGTAAAAAATGATCATAAACGTATTGTGATGGTAGAAATTTGTTAAGGAAAGTGAGGAATAAGTTTGAACCAGAACCAACTGGTCAGTAAAAATCTGATGAAAGATGATCAGGTTGTGTGGAATGTCTTAAGTATTTCTTTCAAAAATAGTGTTATATGCATCTGCCCTCCATCTCAAATTATAACATTAATGCTGTTAACGAAAACTTTATAGGTGCATTGTGTAATTTCTCTGGTGGAGGGTCAGTCAAATGCTTTTCTCCATGGGGATGTTATTGCTTTGTGTGGAATGTTTCACAACTGGCACAACCGAGTGCCTCTGCTCAATTTAATTTCTCTCCAGCGACTAAGTTAGGAAATGGAATATACTAGACAGTTCGCAAAAATCCCGGAAGTGCAATTTCGGACACCAGCGAATCAGCGAAGAGCCACATATTCAGTGTTGGCAACGATTCCCAAGATCAAGGATTTAAAGCCAGAATAAAGAGAATGTTTGGTGAATTTCATCAAGGGGAAAGACATTATTGCCCTTCTTCCTATGGGATTTGGGAAAAGCTTAATATACCAGTTAGCATCATTAGTGACACAATACATACGTGACTACCAAATAGCAGCGATTGGTTAAATGATAAAAACCTACAGTCAAGCAAATTAATTCTAACACTGTGAGGTCAGACGGTTTCTACGAAGTGAAACCGGCTGATGAATCAGGCTAGTCAAATAGCACTGACTTGGAACGCACTTTAGAAAAAGGGGAGGCGGGTGAGGACTGTTTTTAAAGACTGTACTTGAAATACAATATTTTAGACTATTTATTCTTACTATTATTTATGCTGCTGTTGACCTGGACCTGAGTGCAGTGTTTAATTTCTGTGTATTTTTATACTGAAATGACAAATAAATTCTGATTCTGAAATGGAGATGTTATTACTTTGTATGGCACAGGTGTCAAACATAAGGCCCGGGGGCCAGATCCGGCCCTCCAAGACCTTTAATGTGGCCCTTGGGTGATTTTCTACTAAAATATTTTAATTATATTTTTTATTTAAATATTGTTAATTTTCTGCGTGTGTGTTGAAATTGAATTTTTCTTAAAGTTTCAGGTTGTTCATAATATTATAATATTATTAATAAGAAAGAGTTCATCAATTAAAAAATATTTGTGTAATAGATTTGTGTTTCTCTGCACAAATATTTGAAATTATTGTTATTTTTGGGGTTTATATGACATGAGTTTTCTGATCCGGCCCCTTTGGGATCAAAGTCGGTTGGATACGGCCCCCGGACCAAAATGAGTTTGACACCCCTGTTGTATGGCATTAAACCGTTCTATCTTCATGGAGACCACACCAGACCAAGTTACAGGTCAGATCTATGGAGAGGTGACCCCGCTCACAGTCAGAATGTTTGTTTTTTTAGGTATTTTGAGCTTTAAAACAACCTGTAATTGAATAAATGTAACGTAGAGCTGTTTAATGTCATACTGTGGAACTTTCCAGGCAGAGAAATGACATATCCATAGAAACAAGCAGGCGAAGGAACCCCAGCGAAAAAGTTACGTAGTGCACCAGCCAGCGGGGACAACTATACATGTAATATTCCACAAGAAGTCAATGTCGTTTTATATTACCCCACAAAGGGTTGCGAGGGCATTGCCTTAACAATACAAGAAACTTACATAAGATGCTCGAAGAGTCCCACAAACGCATTCAATAAAGTCGACGCGGTTACATATAGAACTATACAGCCCTTGGGTTCTATGTCACCATCCTTTGCATAGCTTATGAAAGTTACATGAACGATGAACGCCGTAGGATCGCATGGAAACGATAACAAATTTAATTTAAATCATGCGCTGTGAGGGGATACAGAGAGGAGCCGTGATAGCGAGGTGCGGTGGTGGGGAAAAAAAACGAAAAAAAAAACAGCACAGCATGGGCAAGAGTGTTCTGATAAAGACACTATAGGATTACGCACATATTATTGAGTCTGGCAGAAGGGTGGAGGGGTAAGGGGGGGGCTCTGCGAAGCTGTGATCCCCATGTACAAGGATGAATGGGCCTAATTTCTAAGCGTCTCCAATAAAGGGAGAGAGAGGAAGAGCTAGCAGGCTACAAATCAATCATTACTTTGTTTGCGGTTTTGCGTTCGCCGCGCGTGTGTGTGTGTGTACGTTGTGAGGCGTATGCGGACGCAGCGTGCATACCAAAACGGGAATAAAACTGCGTGCTTGGCAATAGGAGCCGCTTCCAAGTGCGTGTGGGGGGGATGCATATCGACGCCGGTAAAAATATGAATGTAAAAAGGCTACAGGTGACGCTAACTACGGCGGCGAGCAGCGTGGAAAAGCCAAGTTTGCTAATTTGGGCTTCTTGGCAAGGAATACGCAGGGTATTTTTGAAAACATTGCAGTCGTTTTTCAAGCGTGCACATAAAGAAAGTGGAGACAGTGTGCGTTTTAACTAGGGCATATAAGTGGGTTATTAGCAGGGATAGTATAAAGGGGTATATTTTTGAAAGATAGACGGGTTTTATCGCTGTGAGCCCAACGGAGAATTAAAACGTAATGGATAATGCGACAAAGTTTTGAAATTTCAGCATGATCAAACTGAACATTTGCTGGAATCTGTTCTCGTAATTAATATTTTTTCACATGAATCTCAAAGCAAACCACCAAATGAAAAATGATGGATCATATTGGCGACAGTAGCTCATTTGGTAGAGCGTATGACCACTAATCCCACCTTGAATCCTCGAATTCCCATTGTCTGTTGTCGCTGTGTCCTTAGGAAGACACATAACCGACCCTTCCCCCAGTGTCTGCGCACACTGATGTATGAGTGTGTGTGAATGGGTGAGGTGGAGGTGGAAAAGCAATAAATATAAAGCAGCATTTCCCAGACATTTTTTTTCCCCCCCCCATATTTTCAAGTCAATAGACATATTCGTAAATCACTAAATAAATGTGTGACCGTTATTGAACATTAATGAAGATATTTATTGTTGACTGAGTGATTGTGTCGTGTTACTCAAGTTTTAAACGGTGAAAAACAGTAATCAGTGTTTCCCTCAGAAAATTTGTTAGGCAAGGTGGTGCTGCTGAAAAAGTGAGGAGCAGGGGGTGCGCAGAGATTCCGGACACGTAGAAAAAAATGAAGAAAGGAGGTCGCGACCCAGTCTTTGGGAAACAATGATGTTCAGTGTGTGACCATTTACCCTTTACCAAATAATGACACATGTAACATTTACCACATGCATGAAAAGGATGGACTTGTCTTGATTCCTTATAGATACTCTGACATATTTTCCTCAAATAAGTGTAGACATCTATTTATACTCTGAGTCATTTTAACATTGTTCAAAGTGAAAAACTCCATACTAAGTGAGATATTATAATTTGTCAAATGTATCTGGAATATTAATGTTTTAAAACTGTTTATTTTTTATTTTTTATGGGGACCATATTTGAAAAGTCACAAACCTTTGAGACCCAATTCAATAGACATTATTTATAAATCACAAAACAAAGGTGGATTTGACCATTATTGAACATTAATGAGGATATTTTATTGTTGACTGAGTGATCGTGTCTCTCTGAACAATTAGTATTACTCAAGTTCAAGTATTATTATTATTATAGTATAAGTAGTATTAGTATTAGTAGTACTCAAGTATTATTCAAGTGAAAAACAGTCACTGAACCAGCAATAAAATGTATCCATAAGTCGCCTATTTGGACATCAAATGTAGCCCATTTAATTTTCTTTTCAACATTCAGTTGACCAGAAATATAAGAAAACCAGAAATATTGGAACAAAATAGTCAATAAAATAATAATTAAAAAAAAAAATAGAAATGATACAAAACATGTCTTAGCATTTCAGCATTTCTAATGAGACAGCTGAGCCTATCTGTGTTTTAGTAGCGAGGTGCAGGAGGAGAGTGCAACACACATATCAGGCGTATAGGCAGAACTGTATATTACAGACCGACATGCAGATCGTACCCCCCCCAAAAAAAAAACATCTCTTGCGACCCAGTCTTTTTTAAAAGCACAAAACTAATAGTGCTATTACAGTTCAAATAATACTTTCATTACAGACCAATAAAGATGCAGAGAACAGCATAAACTCATGTAACATTATGCTTGTAAATAAGTACATTTCGTACATTTTGTGTGTGATTTTATGTGTAAAAGGAGTACTTTATGACAGAATCAGACCACTACATGTTGCCTGCAAGTAATAATAATGTATTTTATAGACTTCATGGATAAACTTTAGTGAACTGACCTTGGTAAAGATCTCCGCAATGCAGTGAATTGTCTGTTGACTCTTTAGAAAAATGATGAATGGAACGAAATGGAAAGGCTGAGGTGGCTTTTGGTTTGCTGCAGTGGAGGAAGGTGGAAATGCGTAGCTATTTATATACTGCCCTTTATTACATCATAGACTGTATAAAGAGGTGGACTAAGGGAGAGTGACGTCACCCACAGTGTTCGGCTCTGATCAACTGAAGCAAACTTGGAGACGAGTTCCATGTTAGAAATAGGAATTTATGGACAAAACAGCTAAACAAAAACATTGGGATCATGTAACGCAAGTTAATACCACAATTTTAAGACCAAAATAAAGAGCCTGGCATCTGTATTTTTTATCAGTCATTTACACCTTTGAAAACTGTTAAAATCATAGACCGTCTAACACTTATTTCATCCCTGTAGCCTTGTATTGGTCATTATTTCTGTTTTTAAGTCCTTGTGTTTTTCTTTTGCAGGAGGAGAAGTGCCCTACACCACCCTGGCCACTCGCATGATGATGGGGGTGTGGTGGATGTTTGCTCTCATCGTCATCTCCTCGTACACGGCCAACCTGGCAGCCTTCCTCACCATCTCCAGGATCGAGAACTCCATACAGTAAGCACGCTCTGGCTCATTACACAGCCATGAGGTGGGGGATAATTGGAGCTCTCTCTGTGGCTGCTAACCTTTCAGAGCAGAGGGTGGGAGGCAGTTAGCACTTTAGATTTGCATTAGGAGCTGAATATTCAGATAAACATGCAAGTTGTATTGCCTGAGCAGCCAATCCCTTCGACATTCTGTTGGACTCTAGAAGGGGCTGGAACTGGATCATAGAAGGTGAAAATCCTCTGTCCAAACTTGAGACGATCCAACCAGAGACGCTGATTTGTATCATGTTTCTCTCAAATTCCTCTTCGTATCATTCAGAAGAAAATATATAACTTCATTTAGCTGATTCAAAGAGACTGTAACTGGACAGTAGAAGGTGAAAATCCTCTGTCCAAACTTGAGACGATCCAACCACAGCTTCTAATTTGTATCACGTGTCTCTTAAATGGGGTGGACATCTCGTCTTCAAAATTCTTGAGTCATTTAGAAGAAAATATATGACTTGTTATATAGGAGATAAATAATACTTTGGTGCTTTGATTGTTCATTCTGAAAAAAATCATGCCGTTTCTCAATCCTTTATGTTGTTTTTTATGCATATCTACTTGTTTTATACGAAACAAAAAAGGACTAAATTAAGACACTGCATTGAAAAACGTGCGTCCTTACTATGAACAGGCTTGCATCTCCACAAAACTGACCAGGATGAGGGCCTCCACCTGCTTATTTCCAGGGACATGGTGTTTATGGTGTTTCTTTGGCTATAATATTTCACAGCATGAGTATAATATGTATAGACAGACATACAGACAGGTAATTTATTAATCCTGAGCAAACTGCTGCGGTTGATTTCCACTGCGCGTCTCACCTTTGTGTCTCAGTCAAAGGTCTCAGTTTAACAGGAGGACTGGTCAAGAAGGTTATAATAGACCACTAGAAAATTGCATGGTGTTGCTTTAAGATGAACTATGTATTTAAAGTACACACTGACTTAGGATGTACATGTATCCAAAGTACCATATTTTTCGGACTATAAGTCGCTCCAGAGCATAAGTTGCACCAGCCAAAATTTATGTAATGAAGAAGAAACAAACATATATAAGTTGCACCGGACTATAAGTTACACTTTTTCAGGAAATGTATTTTATAAAATCAGAGACCAGGAACTGACATTTCATCATGAAAAGCAAGTTATAGTAATAATGACAATAGAATAAAGAAAAACAGGCTGAACAGGGGATAATATGTTACGTAACATATGAACAGTTCTTCAGATAACTATTGCAGAAACAACAGAACAGAACAAGTTTACCAAACTCACAATCTTACTCCAAATCACTAAATCCATTGAATTCTTCTTCATCTTCGGTATCACTTCTGCGCGACCTCCGGAGGTAAAGTGTAGATCCATGAGGAAAATGGAGCACCGCTTCCTCTTCTGCGTAGCTGTCGTCAGATTCAGCATCAGTTCAGTTAGAATTATTCCGGCCTTTCTGAATCCAGACAGGATTTCGGTTGTCACTGGAGTTCACGCTTTGTCGATCCATCCAATGACTTCCAGGAAAGTTGCACTGCAGACCTTCCCGATTACCGTGAAGCTGTGTTCTCCATTCCCACCTTTCGCCAGTCCCTCACAAGTTTCTTGTTCACTCCTTTCTTTCTGCTGCTCAATTACCATATTTGCCTGCATATTTCACTACTTGCGGCAGGATAACAGGCTTTTTCTGCAGGAGGCATGTGCATTAGAGGGCGAAGTGACAGTGGTACAGGAGTAATAGGAGCAGCGGATACTGACACACAAGCCTAGAGCCTCTCGAGGCTGTTAGTCTGAAAATGTTAATATATAAGTTGCACCGGAGTATAAGTCGCAGGAAACACCCAAACCATGAAAAAAGTGTGACTTATAGTCCGAAAAATATGGTAATAATTTGTTTATTTACTTATTTAATGAGACAGGGACAATGCACAATATACATTAACCTTAACAGGAAACATTGTCCCAGGTTGTAGCAGCGGTGCACATTTCCACCTGTCGTCCTTGGGCAGGTTCATTGATTGATTGTATTTAACAGACCTTATCTATCATCTATTCTTCTTGGAGACCCGTGTAGCATGTTTTGGGTTCAGTGTTGAATTTATGTAGAAAGCACATTCACAAATGCTTGATGAGGTGGAGTTTGGACAGAGGAGAGTATAGAGAGTGCATTTATATACAGATAGTTTTAAGTGTGATTAGGCAAATGGAGCAGGATGTGTGGCAGATTGTGATTGGCGGTGACAGTGACAATCTGGGAATATTTTACAGTTGCTCCACTTAAGCTTTTACTTTCTATTAAATCTCTGTGAAATGATCATACACCAACAGACTTGCTAAAACAATAAGCCTATGTAATAGTCACGGTTTTGTCTGCCAAATTGGGCATATGGTGCTTTAATATGTTTGTTTTTGAGATATTTACCACTGTTGCTAATTATGGACATATTTGGAGTTACAGCATGTGTTGTAGTTTTAATAACATAAATATGAATCAATACAAGCAGTGTAAAAGTGTTTTAAAGGGATCATATTACACTACTTTCTGATCTATGTTATAATATTGGTTCCTCATCAAAAACATCCCTGGAGTTGTGTTTTGTTTCATTCAAATACGTTTAACACACAAACCCTGTAAATTTAGGCTGTGTTCTTCATGTAAACTGAAAACACTCTGTTCCACCTTGTGATGGCAAAAGGTAATACAGTACAGGAAGTGCTCCACTGTGCTTTAAAACTCCATACACCTTCACTAGAATCATTTGGATGATTTCAGACATGGGTTTGCCGATCTCTACTGAACAAAATGTAAAAAGAAGGTGTTAAGGTGTTTTGAGTTTTGGAGATAACAGACTAAGGCTGCGTTTATATGATGACGGTCTGAACAGAAGACGCAAAAGTGGCGTCACGTCTTTACTTTTTATTCCGCGTTTAGACAAGCGTTTTCGGGAGGCAGTCTGCGTGCGTACGGTGACGCAAAAGTCTGTGGAATTCGACTGGGTATGCGTGTACTTAAAGAAAAAAGAGCACATCAGCTACTCCTTCCAGAAAGTTATTCCACGATCAATGGGTTCTCCTAGGTCTCGCCTGCAACGAACTGCTGCATCCAGAATTAATTTTTTTTGTAATTTCAGATCCTTCTCTGTTCACTTATAGTATCTCTGCATATTCTGTACATGTGTTGGGATGCCTCCTGTAAGTTTATTAGAGCTGTCAGAGCTGCTTGAAGGTCCGACGCATGGAAATGATCCGACACGTTTGTTTCTGTGTACTGTATGTATTTTGACGTAAACGCGTACGCGACGTGAGCAGATCTGACCAGAGTTTTGCGTCTTGGGCAGTGTAGACGAAAACGCTACAACAGAGTGTATTCAACTTATCCACTCTGGAGGTTGGTTTCAGATTTTTGCGTTTTTAAGGCCCAAAAACGCCGAACAAAAGGCACTTCCGATAAAATATTTTGTCATTTTTACCTGCGACCGTTCCAGTGTAAACAGGCCCTAATAATGCAGGATTCCTCAAACATAAGTAAATGAAACACAACACAACTCCAAGTATTTTATGTTTTTGACGAGGTAACAACATTCTAACATGGCTCAAAGCTCACAAAAGTCTATTCTCTCTATCATAGGACCTTTAAGTGTCAAAAGCAATCAGCTCTCCGTTGGGGTCCAGTTAATAGCAGGGCTGTTGACAGGGCTGTCCACTTTCACCGTACTTATTTACACACTCACACATACTGATGGTTCCTGCCGCACAGTGCCCCCTGCTTATCTACCCCAGCGATAATATGTTTTCCGGGCGTGTTCCTAGTGGCGTTCGGAAGCGCTCATCTCTCATTGGACTAATCAGCATTCCGAAACATCCGCCATGCCTCCCAGTGCCACACTTAATTGTGCTTAGCTACGGAATAAACAACATTTATTTCTCCAAATCTCATTACTATCTGTCTCTTAATGTGTTTGTTGTGCTTCCTCCTGTTTTTTTTCTTTTTTGGTTTAGCTGTGAGCAGACATCCTGTTAGATTTCCATGTCTTTCTTTGCATTACCCCAGCGACGCAAGTTCAATTCCTTAGAAAGACCCACTTTGTTCTTGCTTAATCCCATTCTTTTAAATTCCCCGTTATTCACCAGTGCTTCTCGGCTTCTTGCCTCATTCAGCGCTAGACTAATTGTGGATTTCCATAAATTTTCATGCATTATGTTTAATATGTTGACTCTTCTGGGGTCATTAGTGGCATAATTATCATCAAAATAGCTACCGGTGCATGTCCTTGGGTGTTGTCGCTGGTTGAGTAGTGAGTGTGGAACTCTCCGTGGTGAAGCTTTCAGGAGCCTCACAGCAGAACGGTGCCCCCAGTGGAGAGAGGAGAGCGGGGCTGACTGAATACATGAGATGCTCTGATCATACTCTTGACATTTAATGAGTTTATTAACACAGTACCAGCTGGAAAAGGGTTGAGGAAAGAGAATTTTAATCTATTGTGAAATGTTAGCTCTGCACTAGACCCACTGAATCACAATACAAGGTCCTATATTACACAGAATGGAATCTTCTGAGCTTTAAGCCATGTTATATTGTTGTTACCTCATCAAAATCATGTCTGAAGTTGTGTTATGTTTTATTTACACATATTTGAGCAAAATATTATGTCTGTCTACATCTCCAAAGCTCAAAATGTTCTGGCCATAAACTATATATATAAATCACGGATCTATTAAAATAACCGGATAGGGTATTGCTGCTTGTAGCTGTCTCGAGTTGACGTCGTGCTCACTCACTGGTGCTACAGCTGAAAAAAATCCATGGGCTGAGACAAGGCTTTACTCATAGAGTGCAATGTAATCACAAACTGCTCGTGTTCGGATGACAGGGCACTTACAACTTTCAAAAATGTCGGATTTTGTGGCGATTTTTACCTATTTTTAGATCATAAACTTTTTCTGAGCTCAAAATCCTTTAGTTGATTTT